GGAAACAATAAAATTAAAAATTCCAATTCCAAACTCGAGACAATCTTCAATGTCAGGATCAACTTTTATCGAGTTGATGGCATCATGTACACCCCCTGAACCCTCTTGTGTATGACCACCAAGTCTAACCACACTAGATATTGCCATAAGACTCCATCGATTACTATTATTACTATTTGCACTGCTTGGCTCGTTTTTATGACCATTTTTATTGGATTCTCCTTTAATTCGATCAATTTCATCTTTAACTTTGGAGTAAAGTTTCCATGCTCTACGTAAATTTAACGCGCCTTTAATCTCACTACCACTAATAACTTGCAAAACTGACCGGAAAAGAAGAATGTCGGCCATTGCCAATTCGCAGTCCCATCGATAGTTTGCACGAAGAGATGCAAATTCAGCCTCATCTTCATTAGGTGTACTAATTGGTTTTATATCAGTTTTCCAAACATCTGTTATAAACAGAGCAAATGTTGTTTCCTATAAATTTTGATGGTATCATAATATTATATCGATAAATTAGCAAGAGGATTTAATAAAATCATAGTGATCACGCATGATGTATATGCTACTTACAAAATCATCCTTGTTCTCACAAACCTTGCTAGCTAACTTTTCTGCCTCCATTAGTGAATTTATTAACTCTGGATCTTGATACTCCACAGCTTGTCCTGTCATTAAATGTTTAACTAATTGCACTTCGGCAAAAGCAACGCACCATCTTGGAATTCCATCTCTACGCCTCATCAATATTTCTTCGGCCTCAACAAATTCATTATTCCACCCTTTCTTTATCGCTAAACTAAATTTTTCAGACAAAATAGTTTTTCTTTTATTAATGTCATTTTGAGTATAATTATCGTTCTTTTGATCCGAGTCCTCTGATATATTTTCACTATTCAACCCAACAGCTGTGTTAACAAATAACTTTTGCAAAGAATTTGAAGATTCACGCAAATGTGTAGGTTTTACATGAACAGATGAATCAGGAACCGTTTTTTTGATTGTAGAACGTAATGAATTCTGGTGAGATTTAGATAACTCCTCTTCGATTGGAGGTAATAACGAGTCTGTGATTTCAGAAGACGTTTTTTGGTTGTAAACAGTTTGAATACTATTATTAACTTTTTGTTCGTCACGAATATTTTGAGCAGGGTTTACATTTGTGAATTCACCAACGTTATCATCTTGCTTGGTATTTTGATTAACATAATGATCATCAGTTGATGCTATAATCGGCGCACGAATCGCTAATGGTGACGAAAATTTTGGAATAAAAGAATTACGATTTGTTTGAGGTGAATTAGATTCAAAAGTTTTTGATAATGGAGATTTCAAGTCTGTTTCTGACGATTCTGATAATGATATATTTTCATCATTTGAACGCGTGAGCGACGAATTATCAGTTGAGACGTGCAAATACGGATCTGTCTTTGTAGCTTGCGCGATTGATGATTCCGCATTGAAAGCCATTGTTAACAAACTGGTGCGTGGTGACATGACAGGCACAGAAATACTATGTGGGGCCATCGCATCAAATTTGAAAGAATCGTTTTTTTGTTCAATATTAAGCATGTTTTCATTGTCATTAAAATTATGAGTATCTAAGGGCAAGTTTTTAGAGACAGTATCAAACTCATCGCTTGCGAAATCTTTAGAATGATAACTTTCTATATCAACTTTTTTCCTTTTCAAAGTAGACCATTTACCATTACCAACCGGTGCACTTCCTATAATTTCCGCGTCTGCATATCTATCCAAAATAACATCATCATGGCTACTACCCATTTCACTAGGATACTTTACAAGTTTTTTATAGTGGGCGCGATTATTAGTTGGTAACTTATTGGCAAAGGTAATATTAGAGGCATCATTAGAGATATCATTAGATACATCATTAGATACATCGACAGATATCGAATCGTCTAAATCATTCTCAGGATTGTCATTACCGGATGAATATTCTAAAATGTCTTCATGAGGTGGTTGAAAATATACACTCTGACGATCCTTAACACTTCCACCACGTCCAACGGAAGCAACGATTAATCCTTCAACATCATCATCATCATTTACTAAAAGAGAATCATCTTCATTACACATAGAATGAACAGAATCAATTTTTTTGGTTTTCGCATCAGATAATTGATGATTAAACGATTCACTTGCAGAAGCTTCTTCTGGAATATCATTATTATTATGCTTCTTCAAAGGTGGCACATTTTGAATTCGCATCTTTTTCTTATAACGCTTTGAAGATCTTGAACTTCTAACTGAACTTGCGGCAGAAGAAGCAATCGGAATTGGCAATGAAGCTGAAAAAGAAAGATTTCTATCTGTCTTTGAAATTTTTATAGTGTTATAACCTTGTCTTGATGCAATTGATTCGATTGCGGAATTAGTTACACCACCGTCATCCACAAACGGGTCAATATCATTACTAAAAATTGAACCGTAATTTCTTGAATTTCTACTAGTTGAAGAATTTCTAAATGTATTCAAAGGACTACCAAAATTTTTATATACAATGTTTCTTTGTTCTTCCTCAAAATGTGCGTAGCTGTTTCGTAATAAAGATTGACGACGGCTGTCAGAAGTGACAATTATATAAGCAATCCAATGCAATTGAGAGAATATGAAAGATGAAGCAAGAAGGCAAAGATAATAGCTTTGAATCGGTGTTTTGTATTGAAAAATAAAATTACATTTAAATAGGATGTATAAAGAAGATAACTGAAAAAAAAAAAAAATCATTATTAAGATTATTAAATCAATTATGCATAATAAATATTAATTAAATTTAATTAATTAATTTTTTATAATAAATATTACACACCGCGCATGAACAACCAAGAACCCAACCTAGTCCCCTGATCTCTGATGAAGCTACGACAAGTGCCACTGATACCCGAAGAATTCCAAAACCCAAAAGATCCCATTGGACTAAATTATCGATGTGTATCGAGGCAATAGTGCATGCAAATATTATAATTAAATCGGAAACTGCAATCAAAAACAGTGATATAATGTATTTAGGTCTCGGGGGAGGTCTTTTGACAGAAAGCAAAAGGAATGGGTCAGGTTCATCATTTGAATCATAGTCATCAATATCATTTAGGAATAATGGCATATGTTCATTAACAGTCTCTATCGTAGATGACATATTAACTACAAGTTCTTCATTGTTGTTGGAGGGCTTCGAGACAGCGGTACGCAGAGTATCTGAAAACCCCCGTTGATAGCGAGGATTATTAATGGTATCCGATGAATCAGTTAAAGTCGGTTCCATGAAATATAAAAATCATAAAATTAATGTTATAATTAAAGAATTCATAAAAAAATGGCCGCGACCATTGAATCGAAAAGACGCTCCAACAATGTCAAGTAATAAAGAAAAAAAAAAAAAAGACTAAACAATTTATGTAATATAATGTAACACGATAAAGTTCATTTTGACTATCCGTACGACCGGTACCATAGCAGGTTAAATTATTGTTAGACCGCATTACAAACGTAGTTAATAGGGGTGAGAGAACGGAAGCATCCCCTGAAAGTCCCTTTATTAGAAAAAACTTATATTAATTGACATGATAAATGTCAATTACAGAAATGTATATGCAAATCTTGGCGTTTGGTATACGTTCCAAATTTGGAAGACGCGAACTTACATCATCGCGAAATAGTAAACAATCGTTATTCATTGTAAATATATAATTTTTTACTGATTAGATGTCAAATTTCTAACAAACGTTTAGAATTTTTAAGTACATGATTATCAATTAGATTTACTGACCAATCTGCGATATGAGCCCGATCAAGAATTGATAACTTTATTTTTAGAAGAGATTTTCGCACAAATTTTACTTACATTGTTGAATATAGCGATGAACTTATTAGACTGCTGTTTTAGTGTTAAAATACAATTTATCAGGAAGGCAGTTTTTTTTTTGAAATTTTATCGACAGAAATTATTGTTATGAGACAAATACTGTATGTATTGATTAATAGCCAAATATTTATATTTAAAACTATTTTAGTCAAAGTAATTTAACTACGTAAGCATTTTCTCTATTGTTAGCTTAATTCTTTTACTAACCTTTTTTTAAATGACGTCAAGGTTTTTTAATGATAATTTTTATAAGCAAAAAAATAAGAAATTCAAAAATACAAGTAAATGATTTATGATTGATGATCTGGCCTGAGTGACTATCACTCAGGTTATTCAGGGTGGGTCAACCTTCGGGTCATAACCCACAGGTTGTCTGTGGGTTTCATGAGAAAACATTCATTTTTTTTTTTTTTTTTTTTTTAAGTGCGGTCTTTTCCTCCGTTCCTTTTTTTTTCTTTTTGCAGATATTACATATTAAGTTTACATAAATTTTTGAGGGAAGGGGGGAATAAGCTAATTTACTTTAGACCTTAACCTTAGCTAGGTAGGTCAAAGACC